CAGGGGCTGCCAACCGCTCTAGTTTCTCACCTGTAAGCGTCTTTTATAAATTCCCCAGATGTCCTTCACATAACGACAAGACAGGGGGGCAGATAAACCAAGTGCACCACTAGGTGTGTTACTGATACAGTGCGGTCGCTACGTTTTGCCCAAGAGAATTGGAGCAGTTCCCCTGGCACGCCGAGTTTCTGAAGGAGCACCGAAGCGGTCAGAGACGCTCCCGGCCCGGGTCCCGCGGGCGTGGTACGGGCCGGCTGCCGCACCCGCAGAGCAACACGTCTAAACTGAAATCCATTGGAATTGCAGCTTACTCTGTCAACAGCCGTGCGTTGTGTATTTCAGGCCTGCACTTCTTCTTCAAGCTGTCGGAGGACCGTGGCTCTTATTTACAGCGTTCTGCTCTAGTAATATCTGTAGCCTTCAGCGTATCCTTGAGTGCCTTACACAGCTTGTGAACAACACTCCCGACCGTGAAGAGAAAATGCACCCCGGAGTCCCTCTGGGGGGACCGATGCCAACTCCCTTTGCATCCCGAATGCCACCACCACCACCTCGCGATGGGCCGCGTGCGTCAGCACAGAAATGGATTTAGTTTAGACTCAGGAAATCGTATTGTGAATATGTGTATTAAGCCCTGTACTTATGTATTGTACATTTTATAAAAAAGAACTATTGTAAATTTATGCAAAATGTAAACCAGAGAAAATGTTTTTTTTTCCAATGGCCAGTGTGTTCTCTAATATAATCTCCTACTAACCATATCCTAAATACGTAATATTTGGTTCAGTGCTGAAACAGTAATTGACAGGCCTAAAATAGGGCGGGATTGATCAATTACAGAATTTTACACATATTTTTGTATTGTGATTCATATGATATATATCAAGAGACTTTCTATTCATTTGTAAAATACATAAAGTATTGTAAAGTTTTAATAAAAAGATCTGTTTTAAACCTTCAAATTAGCTAAACTGTTTTGGTTCTTTTCCCAGGTTGCACAAAGGAAGCATTTGATTAGTTACGGCGACTTTGCTGATTTTTGTTTTATAATGCAATAATTTTTTAACCACTTTTTACGTTCCACCTGAAAATTTGATTAAATCGTGAATAAAAAATATCCTGGCAAGCGCACAGCGATGTAACTTACCTCCTACTGAGCTGAACACCAGCTTTTCGCATTTTCTCATCGCTTAATTGCCGGTGGGATCAAGCCCATCCAGCACCTACTGAGGGGAAGGGGAAGCCGATGCCTGACGCGAGTGCCGGGCGAGATGTGACAGTGTCAGGCTGTGACGCCTCGCCTCGGGCCAGCCCTGCGGGAGAACCCTCCGTCGGAAGCCGGAGCCGCCCCCCAAGCCCCGCGCCGGGGGCTGGCAGGCGGGGCGAGCGGGAGGAGCGGCCGGCCC